GTATTTGTGTGTGTGTGTCTTAATAGTTTAAAATGATTATATTACTATATATTATTTTATTTTTATTGTTAACACATATAGTATAATGCGTATATTATACACAGACATATATGTTATAAAATAAATGAGATATATTTTGAAATGCAAATAAATAAATACATTAATTAATTAATAATAATTTTTATAATTTGGCCATGAGATGGTAGCACCTCCTGTTGGACTGAATAGAATTTGACTAGTAAACTGTTTAGAAGTAAAACAATGTATGCAATGGACTATTTTTTTTAGATAATATGCTAATGTATTCTCTAAAATTGATCAAGCGTGGTGTGAGCAGTAACTATGATCGATCATGTGTTACCTGTGAGAGAGAAGCCGGTGTTTTGGAGTCCAGCGGCGTGACGGGCTGCACGAGGATCTCGGGGGACATGGACACCTGCGGCGGGGAGGAGACGCTGCTGTAGGACGGAGGAACCAGCATCATCTGCCTCTGCAGGAGCTGCATGATCGCGCCGATATCCGTCGACATGCGACTCTCCAGTCTGAACACACACACACACACACACACACACACACACAGGTTATTCAGAAAACAGTTATGTGCACAGTTAGATTTGCAATGCAATTCATTCCTATACTCATAGGTGGCGCTGTCGGGCTGTTAAAGCAACTCCATTCAAAGCTTGTGAATCTGGTTTTAGTGAGTCAGTTGATTCAGACAGCAGGTTGAGTGGACACAGGTGTTCTGAGTGCAGTGAGCTGAGACCTGTTGAGCTGTTTCTGCAGCAGCTCCAGTCTGCTCTCCATCTGGCTACGCTGCTGGCGGCTGATGCTGTGCAGGGGCATGCTGGGATGCAGCGAGGGCGACGGGAGACTGCAGCGGGGCACCTCCTGATACTGCCTCCCCCGACTGTCACCCCAAAAACTGAAGATATTAGACACACCTGAGAATGCACCTGAGGCACACATAACACACACACACACACACATTACTACCACATACAGCATGATTTATAACATTTATATTTCTAAGTACTCTTGTTTAAATAATATTAATATTAATTCATAGTATTACCATAATTTAATTATTATTTTATTTGATGATTGTTTCACTTATTATTATTATTATTTTTTACAATTTATTTTATTTTAGCTTTTATTATATTATATTATATTATTTTGTATTTGTTTGATTGTTTGATGTGTTGCCCTTTGCTGTCATCTTGGCCAGGACACTCTTGCAAAATATTATATTAATATTTAAATGTTATCTCAATTGAGTTTTTTATTTCGAAAAATACAGTTAATCAAAATGCATAAAAAACAACATTATGTCAATCAAATCTTGGTAAAAATGTAACAAACTAAAGTTGTAGTAAGTGGCGATCACATCCAAAAAAAAACAAAAAACCTAAAAGGCTCAGATCTTTGATATAATGCCTATGTGTTTTTATAAAATGCAAATAAAAATCCTAATATTCAACATTATAATGTTAACAGTTTTATTTTCATATTACAACACAATATTATGAAAATTATATTTTTATTTAATATTATATTATTTTTTATGCCATACACATTTATATTAAAACATTTAAATTCTAATTATTTCTAATATTATTATTTTTTTAAATACTTTTTTTTAATACTACAGACGTTTACTGTTGTCATTCTGTCACCTGATAGGGCGTTGCACGTATTTCCTATTTTGGGATCGCCCTCTCCCTCAGTCACATCCATGAGCGTGGTGGGAGGGGTGGGGCATGTGTGCACAGGCTCCTCCCCCTCATCACCACTGGAGTGGGAGGAGATAGAATTGCGAGGCTCCTCCCACCCCGGTTTGAGTTCGTTCTTGTTACTGGCTGCTTGTTTTCTGCCTCTCCGGACAGGTTTCTGATTCTTCTTGATCTCTCCAGCATCGGCATCATCTGGAGAAACAAACACGGGATGAATATGCAAAATCGGCACATGCAAAACAGCTCCACTATCTGTATATATCATCTGTAAATAGTGTGTTTTTCCGAATATTAAATGATGGAATCTATGATAATAAATCCAGACTGAACATCAGTTATCAGGAAAACCTTTTTCTGTCCGTCGTCGGAATGAAAGTTTTCTCCTCCGCAGTTTGTTGAAGCCGACGCAGTCTGAATCATCGCTGCTGGGAGATCCGGGAATCATGTTTGTCTGTAAGTGAACATGCACACCTCGATGAATTCTGTGTTTTTGCTCCATTCATTTGAAAGATTATGTGTATCTGTAGTCAGATGCATTTACATTGTGACTGTGCCCCAGATGCAATCAACAGGAACTGTCTGTACAGGTGTGAACCAAATGGTCCATACATTTAGAATAACAAAAGAACAGTACTCCTATTAATTCATAGTATTACCATAATTTAATTATTATTTTATTTGATGATTGTTTCACTTATTATTATTATTATTTTTTACAATTTATTTTATTTTAGCTTTTATTATATTATATTATATTATTTTGTATTTGTTTGATTGTTTGATGTGTTGCCCTTTGCTGTCATCTTGGCCAGGACACTCTTGCAAAATATTATATTAATATTTAAATGTTATCTCAATTGAGTTTTTTATTTCGAAAAATACAGTTAATCAAAATGCATAAAAAACAACATTATGTCAATCAAATCTTGGTAAAAATGTAACAAACTAAAGTTGTAGTAAGTGGCGATCACATCCAAAAAAAAACAAAAAACCTAAAAGGCTCAGATCTTTGATATAATGCCTATGTGTTTTTATAAAATGCAAATAAAAATCCTAATATTCAACATTATAATGTTAACAGTTTTATTTTCATATTACAACACAATATTATGAAAATTATATTTTTATTTAATATTATATTATTTTTTATGCCATACACATTTATATTAAAACATTTAAATTCTAATTATTTCTAATATTATTATTTTTTTAAATACTTTTTTTTAATACTACAGACGTTTACTGTTGTCATTCTGTCACCTGATAGGGCGTTGCACGTATTTCCTATTTTGGGATCGCCCTCTCCCTCAGTCACATCCATGAGCGTGGTGGGAGGGGTGGGGCATGTGTGCACAGGCTCCTCCCCCTCATCACCACTGGAGTGGGAGGAGATAGAATTGCGAGGCTCCTCCCACCCCGGTTTGAGTTCGTTCTTGTTACTGGCTGCTTGTTTTCTGCCTCTCCGGACAGGTTTCTGATTCTTCTTGATCTCTCCAGCATCGGCATCATCTGGAGAAACAAACACGGGATGAATATGCAAAATCGGCACATGCAAAACAGCTCCACTATCTGTATATATCATCTGTAAATAGTGTGTTTTTCCGAATATTAAATGATGGAATCTATGATAATAAATCCAGACTGAACATCAGTTATCAGGAAAACCTTTTTCTGTCCGTCGTCGGAATGAAAGTTTTCTCCTCCGCAGTTTGTTGAAGCCGACGCAGTCTGAATCATCGCTGCTGGGAGATCCGGGAATCATGTTTGTCTGTAAGTGAACATGCACACCTCGATGAATTCTGTGTTTTTGCTCCATTCATTTGAAAGATTATGTGTATCTGTAGTCAGATGCATTTACATTGTGACTGTGCCCCAGATGCAATCAACAGGAACTGTCTGTACAGGTGTGAACCAAATGGTCCATACATTTAGAATAACAAAAGAACAGTACTCCTCTGGAGCTTCTTGTAGATTGCAGGATCTCCAGCGGGAGGTCCTGACAGTATCTGTTGTTTCTAGCCATTTGTCTTTAGGTATAAAGTTCTGTCTCACAGGCAGAACTTTGGGAAAAGCTAGGACTCTTATAAGTGTTAAAGGGTTAGTTCACCCAAAAATGAAAATTAGACTGTGTTTGCTTCCGTGTACAACTGTTGGCGCAAGCTACATTAAAGTGATTATTACGTTTAATATGGATATTTGTCTTACAAAAACGCATCAATTTGCTACAAGGAGGCCTTTGTTCACACCCCGGAGCCATGTGAGACACTTTTTTTATGGATGGGCGCTTTTTATTTAACTTCTTTTGGACTGAAGTTTGAAGGATGACATGCTAACATCGCTGCTGAAGATCTGCTACACTGCCACCTTCGATAAATTCTTCTCCCCACAAGAACTTTGGTCAAGCTTACTTATTTAATGTGTTAGAGAAATTTAGTACATTGGCGAGCCACCCAAACCACTGCTCAGCAAAATCTAACACAATGAAAGCTCTTCACAGTGACCGTGACTCACGTCTCTGAGGTTGAAGGTGATCTCCAGGTTGCTCCAGAAGTGGTCGGAGAACTCCGGGTACATGTCTAGCACCTCCAGCACGTCGTCTCTGTGGATCTTATGCAGGTCGCAGTACGTCAGTGCCCTCACGTCTGCGTTAGATTTCCCGGGCCGTGCGTACAGGTTGATGGGCTCACCGAATATATCATTCTTCCCTAGGAAGCACACAAGATCTCCGTCAGACACATCCACAAACAATCAGAGTAACACAGATGTATACATTTATTCTTTCATATTTCATAATATGTGTGCAGGAAGACTAGTGCCTACATTTTGGTCTAATTGTAAGCCCTTCTAGCAAATGTAAACACTGAAACTCGATTTGGCTGATTAACCCTTTTTTATTCCATAATATATATATATATATATATATATATATATTTTTTTTTTTTTTTTTTTTTTTTTTTTTTTGAAATATTGGATCTTCCCTGCCTGACGTAAATTCTTCATCATGAGTAATCCACGTAAGTATTCCCATTTCTTTCTCCAATTTGAAATGTTTAACAATAGAATGCCAAACTTTCAATGAAAATGTTACTATTGGGTCCAGTTTGTCTTTATTATATCCTTGAATTTCACACTCCCCTATAAATTATTCCATAATATTTTACTTCTTCATTACAGTGAAAGCAACATGCTGCTTAGAATTCAGTTTATCCGTAATGCACCTACAGTTTTATTTATCTATGTTTGTGCATTTTAATACTTTGCTTTTTAGGCATTAAATAGCCTAAAATTAATTCATTCAAATGTGATTTATTTATTTATAATTAATTTTTTATATGTACAGGACAGGAAAACGTGTACATGCAATTTTGTTTACGCTTGTGCATTTTAATGCTTTACTTTTATGCATTAAATTATTTATTTTATGTTTTTTTATTTTATATATATATGTGTGTTTTAATCATTATTTTCTTTTATTATTTTTTTAATGATGCACATGATACTAAATAAATACTATGAATAAATAAAATAAATACAACATATGTTGGTATGACTTCAGAAGACTTGGACTGCTGCTCATGAGCGATAAGAACTATTTTAATAGCTTTTTTTTCCCTATTTGGAGCTTGACAGTCACTAGTCATTGAATGAATTTAAAGAACAGCAGTGATGTTCTTCTAAACATCTGCTTTTGTTTTCCAACAAGAAGAAATGCAGTCATGCAGGAAAGTCATGAGGCTAAGTAAATGATTTTTGGGTGAATTATTCCTTGAAGTGTGTGCATTCAGAGTCACAGAGTTTTACAGATGACATCCTGTAGGTGGCACTGCAGGATAAACAGAATCTGTCAAACTGACCTTACAGTACAAACTGTGGATATACAGCTAGCTAGCATGGCTTAAATAGGATGCACCACAGAAAACAGATCCAAGTTGCTTAAAATTAAGGGCCAGTTTTACTAAACAGGGCAAATTAGCGCAAGAGCACAATTCCAAAACAGCGCAGATGGGCGTGGAAATTTCTGTGGGTGATTTACTAACAACACGCAAATTAAAGAACACATTTGTTTACGCTTGTGCATTTTAATGCTTTACTTTTATGCATTAAATTATTTATTTTATGTTTTTTTATTTTATATATATATGTGTGTTTTAATCATTATTTTCTTTTATTATTTTTTTAATGATGCACATGATACTAAATAAATACTATGAATAAATAAAATAAATACAACATATGTTGGTATGACTTCAGAAGACTTGGACTGCTGCTCATGAGCGATAAGAACTATTTTAATAGCTTTTTTTTCCCTATTTGGAGCTTGACAGTCACTAGTCATTGAATGAATTTAAAGAACAGCAGTGATGTTCTTCTAAACATCTGCTTTTGTTTTCCAACAAGAAGAAATGCAGTCATGCAGGAAAGTCATGAGGCTAAGTAAATGATTTTTGGGTGAATTATTCCTTGAAGTGTGTGCATTCAGAGTCACAGAGTTTTACAGATGACATCCTGTAGGTGGCACTGCAGGATAAACAGAATCTGTCAAACTGACCTTACAGCACAAACTGTGGATATACAGCTAGCTAGCATGGCTTAAATAGGATGCACCACAGAAAACAGATCCAAGTTGCTTAAAATTAAGGGCCAGTTTTACTAAACAGGGCAAATTAGCGCGAAAGCGCAATTCCAAAACAGCGCCGATGGGTGTGGAAATTTCTGCGGGTGATTTACTAACAACCGCGCAAATTAAAGAACACAGACGCAACATCTCATTTACATATCGACCAACGCAATATACCAAGCGCAGCGCAAATTAGCGTAGTCGCAAATAAAGAATAAAGAAATAAAGAAGCCACAGTATGTTGAAATGAACCGGTGTTCTGTTGATTTGTGCTACCCTGTCAGATTTTGCTAACTCCCATTAAAACAGTGGGTAGTACAATTCGACAACGAAAAATGCTACCTGTAAAATTATGGTTCATTAACGACTACACCTACCCCAACCCTAAACCTACCCTTACAGTAATGCAGATACATTAAATATTGTTGTTCAGCATGAAAAAAAAGGATGCAATATTGATGTGCGCATGCGCAGTAAACCCTGGTAGGACAATCTGACCGGTAGGATAACATTTCAGGACACCGGAGGCCAAAAAAATAAAAGTTTGCTAGAAGTTTGGATAGACTCCTAGTTGAGGGCTCCAAGTCGTCTTTTATTTCCTGAATGCATCTTAATTCAAGAATTTGTAGATATTTATACTAGAAAACAAGACAAAAATACTAAGGAAGAAAATCATTATTTGCAGCGCAGTACCATTTTAACGCCAAAAGACTGGTGCAAGCTGTTAGTAAAACTGGCCCTAAGTGTTGCATGTAGTATAAAAGATCCTGGAGGATCTTTTGAAACGACCTACCCAAGATGGCCACCACAACATCTCCACGTAAGATCTCGATGGAGCCGCGGGAGATGAAGTAGATCGCGGTCAGGACGTCTCCGGCGTGCACCAGCGTGTCTCCCGGCGGGGCGTGTGTGGTCTTGAACTTCATGGCCAACGCCCGCAGACACCCTTTACTGGAGCCCTTGAACGCTTTACAGTTCTGCAGGAGAGTCCGGTTCAGATGCAGACAGATATCAGCCTGCAGACACTCTGGGAAACCCTTCAGCACCTGAAAGAGCACAGAAAAACAACTATTAAATGCTGCAAAGTATTTTTTTTTTCTGTAATCAGACCTTTCTAAAGTTTGGGGTCTGTAAGATATTTTGGTAATAAATTGTAATTAATAAATACTGTAATAAATGCATTGTTTATTGTTCGTTCATGTTAGTTAATACATTAACATTAACTAACGGAACCTTATAGTAAAGCGTTCCGATTTTTTAATGTTTTTGAAAGTCTCTTCTGCTCACGCATTTATTTGATCAAAAATGTAGTAAACTAGTGAAATATTATTACAATTTCAAATAGCTGTCTTCTATGTGAATGTATGTTAAAATGTCATTTATTTCTGTGATCAAAGCTGAATTTTCAGCATCATTGCTCCAGTCTTCAGTGTCACATGATCTTCAGAAATCATTCTAATATGCTGATTTGCTGCTCAAGAAACATTTCTGATTATTATCCATGTTGAAAACAGTTGTGCTACCCAATGTTTTTGTGAAAACTGTGATACATTTTAGGTTTCAGGATTCACAGATGAATAGAAAGTTCAAAAGAACAGCATTTATTTAAAACTTTTTGTAACATTATAAATGCCTTTACTGTCACTTTTGATTCATTTAATGCGTCCTCGCTGAATAAAATTATGACTCTTAAAATAGTATTTAACATTTATACTCATTATTAATGACTATGAATCATTAATGTTTTATTGTACTCTTATTCGATTATTTGCAAAGCTTCATGAGATCTGCAGTCCCATAAAACATATCATGTGCAAATCGTACTTTTTTGTAGTACTTTGGCGTCTTTAAATCAACGTTTAATGTTTCAGAGCTCAGTGGTTCAGTAAATAATTTTTTGAAAAATCGATGAAAAAATTATGATCCACATCATTTCCCTCGGCAGCACAGCAATCATTCCAGCTCTGACTGTCCAATCAGAACGCTCCACTGCTCCTTAATGAGAGGAGCTGACGGGTGGAGGTGGACGCTCATTTGTTTTCTTTACTTCAATGCGTAATCTCGTTAAACTCTGCGTTTGGGGCTGGTAACAGTAGAGGATGTGCTGGTGAGGACAGTTCCTAAATGAACTCATTATTTATTATACACATTCATGTAATCAAGCTCACAAATAACTTTAAAGGTAATGCAAGTGAGTTTGTCAGTGATGAAGATATAGCTCACCCAGAAATGACTCACAAGATGTAGATGAGTTTGGTTCTTCATCAGGTTTGTAGAAATGTAGCATTGCATCACTTGCTCGGCAATGGATCCTCTGCAGTGAATGGGTGCCGTCAGAATGAGAGTCCAAACAGCTGATAAAAACATCACAATAATCCACAAGTAATCCACACTCCAGTCCATCAGTTAACATCTGGAGAAGACAAAAGCTGAAACAAATCCAACAAAGTCCATAATCCATAATAACGCTTCCTCCAGTGAAAAAGCATCTGGTCTGAATCAGGAGAGAAATCTGCACAGATCAAGCACCTGCAGGGATTTCTAAATATGAACGGACACTGATATCAGCCATCACGAGGTTTGCTAATCACCCAGCACATGAGTCCAATATTCTGGGTCGATTTCCTGTCAGGACAACAGGAGATGGACTTTTTCAGTGTTATTATGGATTATGGATTCATATTTTAGCGGAAGCAATATTTTGAAGTTAAACACATATTAATGATGGATGTGTTTCAGCTTTTGTCTTCTCCAGATGTTAGCTGATGGACTGGAGTGCTGTGGATTATTGTGATGTTTTATCAGCTGTTTGGACT